AGCAGGAATTCCTCCTGTCTCCAATGGTCATGTTTGATAAGTGTCTATTGGGAAGAAAGCATGCTTTGCCAAAAGGAAGCAAAAAGATCAAATTCTGCCATTTGCTCAGAGCACTCCACATGTTGCTAGGAGATAAGGGCCAACAAATTCAAATTTTCTCATTGGTTTAATCCTGGTTAAGGCTAATCTCTGCCCTTGCTGGGCTCAGCCTCAGCTAGGAGGACAGACATCTAGAAAAATGTAGGCCATGGCAGAAACAAGAACAAATCAAATGTACTGCAGTAACAAACCAGAGAGAACTTAGCACATACACATCAGAATACACAGATGTCTGCAGCTTCGCTTATAAATCACTGTCCAGCTGCCGAGACCATGACGTCTAGGCTCTTCACTAAAAATGTTAGAACGCCCTTTGTAAACTTTGTGACTAAGGCAGATATCAAGTGATTATAACTGGTAATAGCTTTAACTGGTCCAAAAATGACCACTTTGTAGCCTATACAAGTACTTGAAACACACATCTGACATTAACTGTTCAGGATATGCTAAGTGTAACTTAAGCCACTTGGGATAACTGCTAAATACATTTGTGCTGTTATTTTTGTGGTCTGTGATGTCCCTGATATTTTGCAGTTAACGCTAATTATCTTATGGCCGTTGATCAATTTAAAATCCCGAATTTTGTAATGTTACAAGCGGCGCTTAACCTAAACATGAAACAACAAGTGTAAGGAGTAATTATAGGTAGCCTTAGCACTCCGCATGACACGCGTTGTCATGGCAACGAAGTTGCACAAATGTTTTCTCTTACCATACGAAAAGGTAAAAACGTCTAAAACGTTACACATATTAATATACTTTGTACACAATGTGACTGCGTATGCTAGACGAGTCAACAAGGACCCTTACCTCATTAATACATCATTCTCATTCAGCTGCTTAGCCTCCACCATCCACACAAAACCTTTTAAATGACTGACTACAGCAAGCGACGAGGGACAAATCTCAAATGAACGGACAGGACTTCTCTTGGTTCAGGGGCTTGCAGCGCTCCTGGCAGCTAGTGTGTGTCCACTCGATGTAAACGTTAAACGTGACAACGACCGGTCTTTCACCGAACTTCCAATATATACGATAAGCATGCGTTTTCTTTTATAGTGAAAACGGGAGGGTAGTTTCCCAGTGCCACCTTAGATTTTGCTTGGTCCTTAGTCTCCATCTAGTGGACAAAGGTGTGACTGTGTATTGATGCTGATATATGCAATTTTTAACTAGACAAATGCGTTTCTTGAAGAAAATGCGTGTGGATGCTGATTGCTGAAGAATTTCCCTGAAAATGCTGAAATGTCTGAAATACACTGCTGAAACAGCTGAAGGCTGAGATGCAGTGCTGAATAATTATGAAAGATGAAGTGAAAAACTGAAGTTGGGAATTTAACTTCATTATCAGAAGAAGGTGAGAGCTTGAGAACATTCCTAAAACAGTGGAAACCTTAATCCCAAAGTGAGAGGTAGAAATTAAATGGCTTAAAATTCTAAAAGGATATATTTTTTTAAATTACTGACATCTGACAGATATATTTTGAAGGCAGACCAACCTGTGTGTGTGTGTGTCACTGTGCTACTGTACCTCTGTGTGTGTTACTGTGTGACACTGTATTGCTTTGACTGTGTATGTTTGGGTGTTTTTTTATTTTGTGTCTGTATGTGTCTTATTGTGTGACCGTTTGTGTGGTACCATGTTAATTTTAATGTTTCTGTTTTAAGCAGTTAAAATGTGTGCCTCACCCCCTTTCCCTTGCTAAGATGTGTTAACCAATAGCAGAAACCAGTAAAATTTCTAAATATGCACCTATACAGTAGGTGGATAACTCATGGGTTAACACCACTGACTTTGGTACAGCAGGAGTGGGGTTCAGTTCCCTTTCAGGGCATGAATTCCAGCCATCGGTCCTTAGGCAAGGCCCTTAATGCTAACCATCTAGTGAGCTACAACACTAGTGCTATGGCAAAGGGGGAAATAACATTCTCCCCACAATCGGAGATTGAAGAGCACATAATTTTCCGACAGTCTATTCTAGGCTGTAAACAGCTGATAGGTTAAGATGGGACAGGCTGTGGCTTAGTGGGGTGCCTCCTGAAACGAGCACGGAAACATTTTGGAGAAAGGCATAGCTGAAGACAGTGGTAAGGTGAGACCTGTAAGGTGAGATGAAAGTTCACTTAGGTTAGGTTACTCAGGGTAAGTCCGCCTATGCTTTTTACTCTATGTGCAGTATGTCTATATATTACATATATCTATGTGTCTCCAGCTTGCTAGTTTCAGGATTCACACCAGTAAATAAGCCAGAGTATTTAATCAAAACACCATGACTCCGTGGCTAAGTGAAGCTTGAAATACAGAGCCTCCTGAAACCAGCATGGTGGCAACACGGAGAAAGGTGACGAAGAAAGCTGAGTTCTCTAAAATAAAAAGAGTTCTCTAAATAACATGTGTTCATCTTATACTTGTATAGTGCATTTCTATGCTTTATGCTGGCTTTCACAGTACTTGGCCATTCACCAATTTGCACTCTCAAGCGCTCACACATTGGCTGGACTAGCTGGGAATCCTCCTGAGTGGCCCCCATGATACCACTAATTACAGGTACCTTTCTCTGTGTTGCCACCGTGCCGATTTCACTTAGCCACGGAGTCATGATGTTTTGATTAATTACTCTTTTACTTTTATTAACTTATTCTAAGTTAGAGTAACAAGTTTTTGACATTCAGAATTTTTACAGTGTCTACATAAATAAACTAACATATTGTCCAAATAACAGAAGCTTATTTAATACAACTTACAGTATGATAGGATAAAGTGAAATATGATTCAGTGACATTTGCTTTATGAGGTCAACACTGCTTTCAAGTTCTGTCCTTATGGCTTCCAAATCATTCCTTCCAGACATTCGTACCATCATCCATCAGATTTGCTAGGTTAAAGTGTTCATAACTAACTGGTAATCATTGGATATGATATAAAAATAAGATGCCATTCTTTCTGCAGTCATGCACAAATAAAATCTCCAGTCTTCTGGAGACAAGACTAACTTGTGAGTACTCTTCTAGTTACATGACTAGAGTCTTCATAACTGTGGTCCAGGTGCATGCAGTGTAACAGCATGGAGAAAAATGTGAGGTACTCTGCTTTGATGACCCAACCAGTAGGGATTTCCCATCTTACCCAAAACTTCAGCAGCTGGCTGAGCTGGGATGGAGTGGCTGCAAAAAAGAGAAAAGTTTTGTAAAGCTTTGATTTCAATAATAACTGGGGCATTTATAAACAAACTTGCCTGTCTCTATGCATGTCCTCAAGAATGCTGCTGTTGATTGTTTGGGCACGGAATGACATCTGGTTAACACATGTAAAATGAAGTTAGAGTTCAGCTTTATTTAAGTAATTTCCACAATACAACAAAACTCACAGTGCACACGCAAGGTGCGTCAGCGTTACCTTTGCAAAGCTGTACAACAACCACTGTGCCAGCAGATGTCACCCACGTGCTCATCAAATGAAGCTTTGAGTAGTGAACCAATTTTCAATACAATGGTCCAAAAGGGTTCAAAGCTTCATGGAGCCTTGTTTGGCCATCACGACCTCAGAGTAACAGCTAAGCATCTGCATACACACAGAACGCTGCACATTAAAATTTAATTGCAAAAGATCTACGGTAGGTCAACCTCATCATTGGGCCGCACACATGTCTGTTTGTGTGTGTGTGTGTGTGTGTGCGCGCGCGCGCAGGTAACTGTACAAACTGGCCAAACAGCATCGGGTCTTAGAAGTTCATTAATAATTCAAAATGCATGGTGCTTTCTATGGCATGTCCAGAACATCTGAACAGTAAAGATATAGGAAACTGCTGTACTTAAGCACAAAGTTGTATTATGTTTCCTAAAATTAATATTTCACATTATTGCTTTTCATGTAATGTAACATTATATATATTCTACAGTATATAAAATCATTACAACTATTTATAGTCTTTTATTATTGCTCTGCATATTTAGAATCTATTCAAAATGCCACTTTTGACATTTTATTCTCCCATTCTAAATTAAATTGATAAATAAGTATATGCCTGTAATGGAAACTTTAAAACAGTGTTTTAGTATGATTACTTGTATTGTATTTAGTATATATATTTTATTGTATACTATATGTAAAGTGTGTGTCTCTGTAATTATAACAGCTACTAGACTGGTGGAACGTGTAGGCTATAAATATTGAGTGTTTATTGTTGGTTTGCACTTGGTATCAAAGCAGGAACAATTAAAATTATAAAATGGGTTCAGTGAAACAGACAATTAATTTAGTCCAGAAAAGCAGTGCCCCTCACACTGGTCTCTGTTTAATGGCTAACTGCTATCTTGGAAAAAGAAATGCAAGGAACATCAAGTGGTAGAGCCTTCATCTTCGCCATCCTACAAAAATCTTTACTAAACTTCCTTATGCATCTCAGTATTTAATCCCCTTTCAATCAAGTAGATAGAGTTAATTAAACTCACTTACCCAGTTTGTTAACTTGAAGGAGTGCCGAGGTTTCCGTCCCAGAAGAAACCATATGGGTTTAAATTCAAAATGTTCACCCCAGTGTGCTTGGGTTCATAGTGGCTCTGTTTGACTACAAAGTGAAACTGTACTTCATATTGACCTGCTCATCCCAGTGCAGCATGTTGGAATGTAGCCCTTAACTCGTAGCATACCACACCAATCCTAACTCGGATAGGCCTACACACATTCAACTCAGGAATGGGACTCATTAGTTCATCAAAGCCAATCCCTCAGCTCGGCTTCATTCCCAGCAGACTACAGTCCCTCACCCCTTAGAGCTCTCCTCTCAGGCCTCTTTGATCTGCTGAGGACTTTTTTTTTTTAGAGTGGAGAAGGGACATCTGGTCACCACAAATCTGCCTAGTTCACAGGCTCCTCCAGGATACATCTGCTGCTTCCACTGTGACACCGCAAAAGTGGAGGTGGCAATCAAACACGGCACATCGTCTATCAGCGCTATCAGACTACAGAAAAGTTTTAAATGTAAGGTCCTTAATAGAATACTTCATCTTCAACTTGATATGCGATTTATATGTGATAAGAAACAGTAAAACATATGCCAAAATTAAAATAGCACAGAAAGAGACAGTAAATTAAAGTATGCAGTCACAGTAATTCATGTTATAAGGCATTTTTGCCAATAAAATTAAAGACTGTTATAAAGAAAAATCATGTGTGCTCATAGTATATTCTGATGTCAACTCATAACTGTTACAGCATAAAGCGAGTCCTTCCTGAAAACCCCTGAACCACATTTTTTGATTGTCAGCACATATAGTTATCATTTTTGGGAATGGCTAAAATGTTTGTGTTTTAACTCACAAGCAGAGGTTTTCAAGGTCCAGAGCAGACAAGACTGAAAAGCACTTGGAGCCACTGAACTGCTGTTTTGTAGCTTTTTAAATTTAACAAAATCATATCAAATTCTATCTTGCTCTGGAGGTGCTACCTGTACTCCCCAGGCTGGTTGCTCCCATGCCAAAGCTCTGACAGTCATGGTGGTTGGCAGATGATTAAGATTTAGGTTCCTTTATGGTTACAGTCAGCCATTCTGAAAGGCCACAGATGGGGTATAAATGTCCCTCAGTCTCCTCCTCCCACCTTCAGCTCCTCCAGGATTCTTACTGCTATCTAAAGAAAGAATATCAAAGCAACATGGAGCACACATACATGGGACTCCTCTGTGACATAGTTGTTAATACAATCTTCAGTTGTATTCCAAAAAATGTTAACTATATGTGCTGACAATCAAGAAAATGTGGTTCAGGGGTTTTTGTGAAGGACTCGCTTTAACTCTTCAGTAGTGCACTGTACAGTTACAGTAGCCATAAAAGTTCTGCTAAAACATTTTCCTTGGTACAGTGCTGCTCGAACTATATTTAGCTTGCTGCTGCATCCGACTTTGTCATCTTCCTTCAAAGAAAACATATTCTTAAATTAGCAGGACAGCTGTATTTATTTATCTGATCACTTACCATCATTTAAAAACAGCTTATGCATGCTACTCATGCCGTGTTGATTAGTTTGCTACAAAATCTTCACAGAGCTTCCTCCACAGATCCTTACGGTATAATAATAAGCATATTTGTCTGACTTCTGTAACAGATAATAAGTAATAATGGCAGATTAAAAATAAGACATTTGTTCTCTTGAAGGCATTTTATTGATATGTTAATATGACTGTTACAGTAAAATAAAATTATTTTGAAGCAGTAATAACAGTTTATCAGTTTTCCCTCATACAATAGGAAATATTACATCTATTGATTTCAAAGGAAGTAACATTATATATACTGTATGCTCTACTCTTGACAGTGATCAAGTGATGTACATACAAAATATTTGTGCAGTAATTGCTGATAAAGATAAGTAAAGTCTATCTGAAGCTGCAGGAAGCAAGTATAGCGGATTTAAAAACAGGAAATGCTGTATAGCAACAGGTAGCCTAGTGTAAAATGACATTTCCGCTCAACAGTGTGGCTTTACAAATAGCAGGGACATTTTTTTAATACTCAAAACTGAATGATCTCAATACCTTACACTCCTATTAAGCCAAGATGTTTTGATAGTAGAAAAGTACAACTTTTTTGCTGAACCACAGATGGAGAAACTTAATTTACCCTGTGGTTAAATGTAAATTTAAAGTTTTCATGGACAGTTTGAACTTGACTATGCATGCCTTGTTAAGTTCTAAAAGTGGTTACAGTGCCCTCAGTCGCTCACATACTGTACCCTCTGGTCAAAAGGATTCAGTGCTGCATTTAAAAAAAAATATACTCAGACACAGAATTATATCAACAATCAAACATGATAATTGCCTGCAGCTATTTAGTAACTAAAATAACAAATGTAGTAAAATAAAATTCTATGAAACTCCACATGTACTGTGTAAATATGCTGACCATTTAGGAATATGATAAAAAGTATTACCATACTTGTAAAATGTACTAATATCAAAGTTTCAAAGCACTATGTATAATCAGAGCTATGTTGACCTAAAAAAGTACAGAGACCACTTAATAAAGATGCAAAGTGAGATTAAACATTTCCAACTACAGCATCCTCTTTTTACAATAACATTTGTCCAGTCAGGTCTGTGAGTTTAGGAGGACTAAAGTAAATAACAGTAAATAATTAGCATAGCATAATAATAGCATCAACTCACTACTGTACTGTAACTTGTTTTAAGGCTGCAAAAGCAACTCAACAAACAAACAAGAGGCAGGGTTCTGGTGTGTAGGATAGCATACGCTAGGTGACCGAAAGATTTTCTTACTTAGATTTTACATTGTTCCTCTGATTCTGTGCAGGGATAATAATTGTCTTGCTTTGTGCTTCAAATATCTGAAATATGGGCGGCGCAGTAGAACAGTGGTTAGCACTGTCACCTCACAGCAGGAAGGTTCCGGGTTCAAGCATAGTGCCTTTCTGTGCGGAGTTTGCATGTTCTCCCTGTGCCTGCATGGGTTTTCTCCGGGTACTCCAGCTTCCTCCCACAGTCCAGAGACATGCAGCTTAGGTTGACTGGAGACTCTAAGCTGCCCCTTGGAGTGATGGCGGGTGTGTGTGGTTGTTTTATCTACATGTCCGACCTGTGATAAACTGGGGATCTGTCCAGGGTGTACCCCGCCTCCCGCCCGATGTCAGCTGGGATTGGCTCCAGCCTCCCAGTGACCCTATTCAGGAATAAGCAGTATAGACAATGGATGAATGGATGGATATTTCAAATATTGTTTCAATATGTTCAGCTGCCATCAGATGGCAGCACTGTGATGTTATTGCAAACCCCACATAGGGCTATGTTCAGATGAGAGAATGGAAACTGATGCAGCCACACAGGCTGCTAAATAAAAATTGTGTAATTACACCCAAATACATCATCTTTGTGTCCATGGTTGCACTTTATTCACCTTGGTTAGAAATTATGTCTCCTTGACTTGAGAGACTGTCTCCTCTTCCTCTTCCTATGGCACTGCTCCCTCCTCTCTGGCCAGGGGAAACAACCACCAGTGGTCCTGTAGGCCTCATCATACTCATCGCTGTCAGAGTCCGCCTCAGCCGCAGGGAAAACTCTTTCTGGGAAAACTTCTTTCAGCTTGGAGGTGAAGAACGCCTCGAGGCTGCGACCTGCTTGGGCCACCTCAGAGTCAGGCTGCGGTCAGAGAGTGAAAGAGTGAGTACATTCAGCTAAATGCTAGTGAAGTACTCAATTGTGATTATGAGATACATCATACATAGAATATACACATACAGTATATTAGTCTTTAACTTACATAATTGAACTTTGCACAGTTGCGGAACATGAGATAGACATCAGCAACAAACTGATCCGGTGAGGTATAGTTTTGAGTATTCCTCTTGCTGAGTTTGGCCCTGATCACAGACAGGTCCATTGGTTTCTTGATGATCTGGTAGTAATGGCGAGCCTACATGAAAGATCCACCCAGTCACTTTAGTTTCCTCATACTCATGCCAATGTCACTACCTTAAAACTCCTCCATATATTGCATTATGTATCACTGTGACAAATATGCTTCCACCTGTGCTTTGAACAGAATCTTTGCCCATGTCTGCACAGATTGTGCAGCATGAGCAGCACATTAGCAGAGAAGCAGCAGCAGCTCCAGTGCTTTGTGTTTCTACACACAGTGGCACCTGCAGCTGTAGTCCTGTATGCACCACACATACTTTCTTTTAATGATTTTGCTTACGCTACTGCATCTGGTGGTCATTGTATGAGAGAGAAATATAGTTTCACATTTAATACGTGAGGAGTTTATTTAACAGAAGAAACCACCAACATGAAGATGGTGAGAGATAGGCTGCTGAACTGAATGAGCTGTGGAGGTGCTGCTCAAAGTCAGTGCACAAACTGTGCAGGCTTCACGTTATTATGAGAAATACAGTATGGTGTTATAATGACAAAATAGACAACAATATGTCATAATAACGTGAAAACTATGTTCTTACATGAAAGTATCTTGTTATAATGAGAAAAGTTTCCCATTAAAACAAGCTGCCGTAGGCAGCTCTTGTGCATACTATGAAATATAATCCTGCAGGCACCACTGTCTACACAGGAGGTGTTCAGGCACAGTATTCAATGTCTGGTGAGTTAAAAACACTTTCTGTGTAAATGCACTACATTTTGGTGCAAATATAATGAAAATTAGAACAAGACTGTAAAGATGAGTTGACCTTTACTGTAACTGGACTGTAAGAAAAAGGTGATCACTTACAAGTGGACTGACAGGTTCATGGAAGGGAGTGCTAAGGATGTTGCTGAGGATCAGAAGAGTCAGCTGCTCACATTTCTACAAACAGCCAACCAAACATGTAAAGAAAATTGTTATAAATGCAGGAAAAAGAGCACAGTCACAGAAAACAGCAAACATGTCCCAAACCACTGGCTATATTTATTAATAATGCAGCTAATGAAATGACCTACTCTCTGGTCACATGCAGACAGTCCATGTGCAGATGTGTGTTCTCCAGATGTTCTCTCATTCTCACAGTCATACTCAGCCTCTGGCTGTACAACATCTCTGCAGAGGCTGCACACCCAGTCACCTCTGAACAGGATAAGAAGCAGCACTGGGTTAATGATAACAGATAAATAAATAAAATAAACAGTTTGATAGCAGATGAGAGGATAATGCTGAATATATAAATCCAGGTTACAACATAGGAAGCTTACGAGGGGAAGCTTAGCAGAGATGGGATATGGCAAGACAGATGATAGACTTTTGGACAGTGGTCACAGCACAGCAGGTCCCCTCCAATCAGACACACAGCACAGAAGTCTTCATTTTCCATCTCAGCATTGTCCTGTTCAGGCTGTACTTCCTCTGTCCCCCTCTGAGTTACAGGGTTTGCAATCAGAAGCTGCCTCTGACAAGGTCCAGTGTGGGTCTCCTCTTCCAGGTCAGAGCAAAGCGGTTGTGGTTCGTCAGTTGTCAGTTCAGGTTCAGATTCAATGTCAAGCTCAGACTCCACAGAGCCTTGAGAGTCTGGAGTCTGATCAGATACAACTTCAGAATCTGTGTCAGCTGGAAAACTGGGATCATATATCAGCTGGATGTCGGACTCTGTTTCAGCATCGCCTGATTCTGCATCAGCATCCAGCCCTTGGGCGTCCCCTGATCCTGCTCCTGCATCTGACTCTGGGTCTGCCTCAGAATCAAGACTTGGCTCTGAATCCCCCACAATATTAGTTTGACTGCAGAGATCCTGTACTGCAGTCACTGAATTCTCAAATGAAGACTCTGCATTTTGGTCAGAATCTGGTGATGCATATGAGACTGACTGTGGCTCTGGATTAGCCTGAGAAACAACTGCATGTTCTGAGACAGACCCTGGATCTGAATCCAGTTCCACTGCAGAGTAACTTTGCAGCACAAATGTAGGATCAGTGGAAGGCTGTATGGATGCTTTATGAGAGCTAAGTCTTCCTTGGTTGTCAAACTCACTGTTGGTTGAGCGTCTGACTGACTGATTACACGTTTGTTGCTCTGCACATGGTGGTGCTGTGAGTGCACGGTTGGTCCTCCTGGTCTCAGAGCCTTTCCCCTATGTTTACAACAAAGGAGAGGAGTGGAGAACCATCAGCAATTAAAAGCCACTTTCCTATCTGCACATGAATGAAGCTACAAGCCAGCAGCTGGTTGGCTTCACTTAGCATAAAGACTGGAAACAAAGCTCTGGCTCTGTCCAGAGGTAACAAAATCTACCTAAAGCTCATTCAATTAACATTTGGTATGTGATTTGTTTATTTCAAGCAAAAAGCAAAGTGTAAAGATAATAATCCAAAAGAATGATGATAACCGTGTGAACAAAAGTTGTTAATAACATAAAAAAATTTAACAATTTTTATTTTGAAAATGTTCTGTAATTTTCCAGGATCACCTTTCCTCTATTGTATGACAAGAAATGAGACATACTTTAGGTACTGCATCATGCCAGGTTGTCTGCTGTGGGAGATTTTCGGTCATCTCTGTTGTGCTGGCAGGTAAAGGGTCACTCTGCCGACGTTCGTGTGGGGGGAGTTGAGACACGAGTATTTTGAGGCGCTCTAAGCAAATCATTGGGACCCTGGGTCTTGCTGAGTCCTTCTGACCATCACTGTTACTTAAGAAGCAAGTAAAGGATTGATGAAGAAATCTATACTATACAGTATTTTGTTTAATTGTGCACACACATTTGACTTAAAAGCAATTACACACCTGTTGTCACTGTTCACCCTGCAAGTCTCTTCATTTGCATAAGTAAACGGATGATCTGAAAGAAAAAAAAAAAAGGAAAGATGATGAGCACATAACCACAGTCTTGTATTTTCTTTATTTGAGGATATAAAAAACAATCCTGGGGCAAAGTAGTATTTTCCATCCAGCACCTGGTTCTGTCTTATAAGGCAGCAGAGGAGCTCGGTGGCCTCTGGAGGGGGTTGTCTCAGACGAGGTTTCCTTGACCACATAAAGCACCCCATCTGAAGATCTCCTCTGTCTGGGATCCATAATGGCATACTGAGAACAAAACAAGCAACATGAAAATGTAGCCTCTCTAGAAAAACATCTACTACAAAGGAAAACAACTTTATTAGTATGCTATGTAATTGATAACAATTCTTTTCCAAACAATGACTTAGAAAAGATTTTGTAGCCATGCAAACATTCGGCTGATGATTAAACTGAACACTGACAAAGTTGGTTGAAAGACCTGGCTATTAGGGTCTCTCTGGGCAGAACCACCCTACCAAATGTTTTTAATCATTTCCAAAGCTTCTAGATTTCCATGATGGAAAGTTTAAAAAAATTAGTAAAATCAACACAGCAGAACCAGAGATATTGTCTTTTTCTTTAATGCGCTCTTTTTCCTAGTCAGTACCTGGTGCCTACATCACCCATAATGCAACTTGACTGCTGGCAGTTTGGTCAGAGACTTTGGGTATGTTATGTTAGCAGTAGCTAATGTAGCCTGGAGCTGCTAGCATCATCTAGAGATGAGGAGCAGACTACAGAGATCTGGTGAGCTCTTGTTTCTAACTTCACATCCCCAAATTTATGTTCATTTACAAACTTGTAGCTTTCAGCCCCAACTGTTGCTAACTCATCATCATCATCATCAACCGTTATTCAATCACGGAAAAACCAGTTGAGAGCGATCTCTCATTTTCAGTGCTGCCCTGACATACAATTAACACCATCAAAGCAGTAATAGATATGTGTATATACACATGGATCAAATTAAATCAGTATTAAAAATCCAATAACACAAGCCACAAACAATAAAATATACACATAAAATCAACATAAATAAAACTGTATTAAAAACACGGTATCCAGATCACCTGTTACACTCACATTTACACTGTAAAGTTCAATAAAAAGCAGTTTAAGTTGAGAGCAGCCAGTTTTGTTTTTCTGCACACTATTCCGTTTTTGCAGGGCATAGTAACAGAAGGACATCTTTCCTACTTCTGTATTAGCAAAAAAAGCGTTTCAGAACAAGATAATAATGTGAAAGGGTCTGGTACTTTGATGATGTCATACATTCAGGCAACTTATTAAATAGGGCTTTAAAGATAAATGACATACAATGATGGAGAAAATACAACAGTACTGTCATTGCCATTTCTTTGCAATGCTAGAACTCACACATGGAAAGTGCACATCTAAACTGTGATTCTATCTGTCAGCAGAGCCTTGGTTCCTCCCTGTGTGTGATTACATTCATGAGCAGGGTTACCTTATTTGCAGCACCTGCCTCTGGGCTGTGAGTGCATCCGGTGGGCCTTTCAGTGTAAGGGCTGGTGGATGGAGCCGCCAGTTCTGCTGGGATGCTCTGGGAGCGTCTCTTCCTCCTCGTGCACACTGAACTAGGGTTAAGCCTGCTGCTCTGCACATCAGACACACAGTCGTGGGCTGTCACTGACACCTCCAGGGATGTGGATCTCTGTCAGAAACACAAACATACAAAAGTGAGCAGGGTGTCAAAGCTGTATCACATGCACAGATGCACCTGTTGGTGCCATTAACAACAGAAAAGAGAGAAAAGGAGTGGGATCTGTGTGAAGTAACCTTGAGTGTCACATTGGCACAAACGCATGGATACACACATGCGTAGGCACACACTAAAACACTAAACAAAAACATCACTCAGAGCGCATTCTGGGGCTCGTTCAAAACAACTCAGCAAACATGGAGAAGGGCCCACACCGCTGCATATATTACTCTCATTGTGCAGAGAATGAAAGGTTTGGTTACAACACCAATTATCATATGTAAATTCAACATCAGGGGTTCAGTGTGGCCCTTTGATTAAGCCAGAACTGCAAATCACTTACTACCACACTCTCTGTTTTCCTAGGTTAATGCAAGTCTCCTGAAAAGCTTCTTTAAACGCCTCTGCTGTGTTTCCACCTAATGTAAGCAGGAGGGCTGACAAATCATTTAACACCCTTTTTTAACACATCCCTATTCCTCTTTGCTCTTTTTTCTTCTTCTAGTGCACCATCATACATATTCAGGCCAGGCTGACACCAAGCACATTTTCCTAAGTATCATGCAATTAAAACACTTACCTGATCCATGCCCCTTGGGAGAGGTATGCAGGATTCAGACTGTGGAGGAAAATAGACTATAATCCTTCTCACTGGAATGATGGGGCGTGCAGGAATTTATCTCAGAGTCTAAACCAGAGCTGGATTCAAAATGGCAGCACTCCCTATTCCCTTAGTGACTCATTAATGACAGGTTAAGTACATAAATGACTACGCCCAAGTGGTTTCATGCCGTTTTCAGATGCTGTGACTAGAAAGTATTAAAATATTGCGCATTTGTTCTTGTAATCATGCATCTTGAGAATTTTTAAAGAGGTGATTATATGGCTGTTCAACCCTCTGGCATCAAGTGTGATTATGACAAACAGTGCTGTGTTGGATTTCAGAATGCACTGCTATAACAGTTCAGCTTTAATTGTCAGCGCTGCTCTTTGCCTTCCCATCATCCTTTCTTTATAAAAGCAGAAGTGGGCTTCTGTTGCACCATCTGTTTGCAGGCTAGCTGTCAACTGCGAGAAGTGATCATTCTGGCATTAAAATAAACAGTACTGCTTTTAGTTTCATTTTATTTATAGATATTAATTAAAACTGAACACTTCCTTAAATTCTACATTCCCTCAAATTTCAACATTTTATAAATATTCTAGAAATATGCAGGTTCTTCATTTTCCTTTTGGCTTTTGGCATGAATTAAAAGTCACTTCATGACTCTGTAGCCTTTGTCTTTTGTTCTTTGTGTTTGTCTAAGCAAGTGTTTGAACATCGGTGTTTCATGGGAAATAGACCTGACTGTGACCGATACATTGTGGTTTTTCAGAGGTGTATAAAAACAATGCTGTGTGGTTTACTATGTCATCGGTTGTGAGTTGGGTTAAAACTTTGTTTGAGCTTATCAAGACTCTGCAGGACCACGTGTGAAACAAAAAAACAAGTCTGAGCTGCACAAAAACCCACCACACACCTTGCTGATCAGAAACAAACACACTGTTCACAACTGTTTACTTCATAACATTATGAAGTTGATTACAGCCTGAACAGTTAGTTGTTCTTTTGAAGTGATGAGACTGAGTTATATACCTGCAGGACAAATATTATCTGCTACTACATGCTAATCATACATGTAGGCTGCATTTACATGCACAGTTGTCCCTGACATTTCATAAATAAACTACTACTGTTTTGTCAACTGCTGTTTCCACAGTGAAGAATGAACCTTAAATGTATTTATAGTTTCAGTTACTGATTATAATAATTTAATTCCCAGTGGAATTTACTGTTGTTTCAGTGCATTGTTGTTGTCATGCTTTTTAACACTCAAATTAGAGGGATTAGTTTCTAAATGCTTTTTATAATAAAAAATGAATAATAATAATAATAATGAATATATATTACATACAGAATCAGTGAACATGTATTGTTAACTTAATGCTCACCCTGCCATTCCTGTGGTCTCTGAGCATCAGTGCAGCTCTGGCCTTCCGTTGCTCTTTTCTCAGTTCTGCTGCAGGAGGAACCTGCAGCAGCTGCTGCTGATGCACAGGACTCTGCTCCCTCCTGTCCTGCTGCAGCACAGCATCCAGCAGCTCTCTGCTTTCAGCTGCTGCTCTCTGACCACGAGTCTCTTTCACCCTGCATCTCTCCTCCCAACTCTCCTCAGTCATCACATCTCTGCCCACAGCTGTGTGGCTGACGTCCTGCTGCAGAACTGTGCTGGTCGTCAGCTTCCCCTGACAGTGGCCGGATCTGCTGTGGTCTCCACTAAGCTGAGCCTGGCTGTCTGGAAGAACTTCTGTCTGGCGACAAGAAAGATAAGATTTTGACCTAGAGTGGGGCTGGGAGCCAGCAGCTTGTGGCCGTGATGTAGAGCTTCGACTGTAGTTGAGTTGGATGGATCCTGCGACTGGGACAGATGATGTAGGCGGAGGGCACTGCGAAGAGCTCTCTGTGTCCCAGCACCTTTGGAGCTGCTGGTTCTGATGCAGGGCAGGCTGAACACAGCTGGAGTTCAAAAATGGGGCTTCTAGCTGACTTTTGTCCAGGCTGTGCAGCTCTGGCTGAGTGGGTATACCATGTAGGCAACACATCTGGGGCTCATAGCAGGTCTGGTACCCGTAGGCTGGCTCTCGTCCTCTGTGAAACACGGGGGGCAGAGCCAAGCAGGTGATAGGCTGAGGTCCCATAATACTGGAGCAGGTCAAGCCCTGAGGAGGGTAAGTGCAGGTTCCCCCTTCAACAGTCAGCTGACCTGCAGAACAACAGAATCATATGCCATGATAAAAATAATACTGATATTAATAAAAATAAATGTACATGGTAAAGCCTTGTTTTGTGTCTACTAAAAGTTCTTTTGAATGAGTAGGTAGCTGATTTATATTTCCAGAAAATATTTTAACATAGTCAATAGCATTTTACCTAAGGAGGAAATCTGCTTTGTCCAGTAACTAGCATCCCAGTTGAATTTGATCTTGACAGGGCTCCAAGAGTCGGAGCGGAGTGACAGCTCAAGCAGTTGCTGCATCTGCAGGGAAATCTGCAGGAATAATATATGTTCCATATATCAATAACAGCATTTGCACCACCGCCTTTATTGATTTCCAGAATAAAATTAAATAAAGTAAAAGTGTGCTTAAAAGACACCAGTAGATAATGATGAAAGGACAGTAATTACTGTATGGCTTTGCTTTGAAACATTAGCTGCTGGAAATCAAATGTCAGTAACACAAATACCCTACACTGTGTTTCAGAGAACTAAAGCACGTTATTGCCTACACTAAAAAATATCATTAATATAATTAGTATTGAACTGAATTACCCTGAAAGACAGTAACTACATAAAACAAAGAAAAATGCCTTGTGAACACTGAATGTAACTTTTTTTTAAGAGTTTGCCTTTATTCAATATTCAGTGTACAGACAAGAAACATCACAAGAGAGAGTGGTATGACATGTAAAGTTAACCATTAGGCCAGCAGCGCATCCAAATGTGCTTTTTTGCTGTTGCTGTTTTGTTTTGGTAATCCCTTTTATTAGTCAAGCTATAGTACAGTCAAGCAACACTACGCCCTACACCTCCTATCAAGTCCCTGCCTGGTAAATACACGGATCTTCCAAATGCCCCACTCCCAGTTCAAACCACAGGCTTTCTGTTTATGTAATGTCAGTAATTAACTCCAGAAAACACACTGTATAACTGCTTTCAATGACTGAATAGTTCTCCCCATGACTACACTCAAATCAAATTAAGTACAACTTAATTTGAGTTAGGGCTACATACTGTATATTTACTGGATGGAGATCCTGCTCACAATTAAATTAAGTTCATCCAGTGAGCTTTTTTTTTAAAATAATTTATTTTTTTGAGTGTAGTAAACTAGCCTATGTGTTTAATTGGTAGAATTCCTCTTTGGGTATAAATGTGAGGGGGTTTATGTTTCCAAAGAATCAAGCTACTTCCTTTTAGGACTGTGTGTATGTGTGTATTACAGTAAGACAGTAGATGTATCTGGATTGTCAGCATACCAGAGCCCTGCTGAAAAGCACTGGGCCTTTGCAGTGATGGGTTGTAGCCCAGGTGATGAACTTCTGAACGTGGTCCAGCTGACCACATGTCTCAATTGCCCTCTGCAGCTGGTTCTCCAGACGCTTCTGGAAGTCCGCTGAGATTTTCTGTGAAGACACCCATAAAAATGCATGCAGTTATGTGTAATCACTGGCCCACAGAGACCATGATGACTGGACTTCAGGCTAAATCGACGACTCTTTTTTGACAGATGTAGCTTCTGAACTGTTGATTTAAGCAGCTTAGACAGATTATTATGGCCTCTCATTTGCTTGCTTTCAGAACTGATTACATCACAGCACTGACAGATTCTTTGCATGTAAATTCACGGCTGGCTGAATGATAAGAAGGGAAGAAAGAAAGAGAAAGTAATTACCTCCAGTTGCTCTATTAATAGGTTAGCTCGTTTGTTAAGCTCGTTCATCATAATCATCTTTGCCATTTTAATCTGGTTCTCTGCCTTCCTGTGTGCAATCTTTACTCCATGAAGTCTGCTAAGACAGAAAAAAAGAAAATAAATCTCTCAGTCCTGGCAGAAAAATCCCACAAGCAGAAGAAGAGAGCAACATTTCGGACATTAACTTGTGCATTTGCTTGCTGTATTTCACACTGTTGAATTTTTGACCATTTGTGGCACAAGTTGTTCAGACCTGGGACTATGATTATGACTTTGTGTGGGTCTAAACCAACCTGTCCTCTATCTGTTTAGCACTGTTCTCTACTGCAGACCTCCTCTCTTCCACCTGCACCATCAGGCTCTCAAACAGCCACTGCTGATCCTGTAGGGCCTTCCCAATCTGCACCACCCTGAACATAGAAGACATCACAGCATCCACCAGACAGAAAGTTCACTCATTTATTCTTTGGCAATGCAGAACACCAGAATTAAATTTGTCTCCCCAGAGGACAAGACATTATGCAGTTGACCTTAGAGGCAGTTACTGTGCTGTAACATCACAGAAAACAAAAGCGTATGAATACATAATAAGTATTAGGCAGGCCAAGGGTAGTGTATGCAGATACAGATGATAAACGTGACAAAGAGCGTTGTTGTTCAGAGGATGTTTTTAACCTGTGGTTAGCCCTTCTCTGCAATGTCCTTGTGCTGCACATCTGAGGACTGACCTGTGGTTTTTGTGGGATGACAGGTGACAGCTGCTACAGCACAGAAGGTCACATGACTCACAAAACAGCTCCAAGGGCTCCTGTCTGTGAGTGTGGCACATGAGGAGGGAACAAGGATACGACCCCGGGCCTAAATGACAGACAAGGGGAGGAGGGAGAGGGGAAAGAGCACAAGACATTAGCAACACTCAACAAGCAGTTCATACCCAGAAGTAAAGGAGGGCCAGCAGTGTGCAGCATTCAAGCAAAAGCTGAGAAAGTACAACAGTGAAGTCTGTCAAAACGTAAAGCAGCAAGTAAATTATATTTGTTTAGAATATGCATTGATGCATTTAGTTATCAAATTGTACATCTACAAAAAGGCATTCAGCATCTCATACAAGCCTAAGTGATTTGTTGATGAGCGTTCCTTATTAATTATTGTTACAGTACTTAAAATATTAGTTAAAGTTAAGTTACCTTTAAAATCTAATTCTGAGAGCAAAGAAAAGATCGAACTGTCTCATCTTCTGCTGACTGGTGGTTTGAATGTCAGAGCAGCAGGTTGTTCTTTATGGGGATTTATTGTATGTGTTGCGTACTATACTGGACTGTATTTAAGATAGGTGCAGTTACTTCTGGAAGTCTGTGTGTCAGAGAACTGTTTTTATATTCCAGTTTTGGCAGATTATGCAAAGATAGAACATGTTATACCTGAGCTATACTGGCATGAGAGATTAAAGCTGGCCCTTCTCTACACTATCATAGAAAAACAACTGTGTTGGGTGACAAAGATGTACTGTAAGTGAACAATATTTCAGTGCTATCCAAATGGCCTCTGATACACCAACAACCATACACACACACACACTATTAATACACAAACTCAAAACAATCTCTAATGCATTTCTAAATAGGTCACTGTAAAAACAGTTGGCCCGCAGAATGTCTGCCTAACAATAGTTGGCTAAGGCTAAGGAGCGCAGCCCTACTGCTCTCTGCTGGCCGACTCAACTGAGCCAACCACCCTCCTGCCTGCACATCATCACACATCTTTGTGGTAGAGAGCTGAGCATCACCTTCTGTGCATCACTGACCACATCCTGTCTGTGATAGCAGTCACACAGCTTTTCAAACAAGTACAGAAACTAAACAGTGGTACTCACACATCACAATAAAAATATCTAGGATCTACTCATTATGATTTGACAACTTGTTTAATGCAGACCTGCAAAAGCAGCTGGCAACAAAGAGCCAAGCACACAAAGGGGTCTTTAAATAGCAACACACCAATATTAGCAAAAATAAAATTATGTGAGCACCTCAGAATCTGGGCCACATTTTAAAGAGAGGTGTAATAAAACACAGGGCTCTCCAGGAACTATTATCATCTGTCGCCAGTGTCATGCATTATTCATTGCCATAATTCCTACTGAGACATGGTTAACAAATAAATAGTGCACCAGAGGGAAAACAAAGAAGCCCAAACAGGCTTTTGGATGACAGAGAGAGAGACACAGACAGTGTAGCACCACTAATAATCTGTCACACTGGCCTCAAAAGTGGAGGCAACAACATTTTAAAGTATGTAAATATCTTGCCTTGTCCAATTGGTGGCAGAGAGCCAGAGCCTTTCTGGTGCAGGTCAGAGCACTGGGTGACACTGGGCCTCTGTTGCTGCAAGTCTATGTACTGGGAAGTGGCAGGGGCTCTCTGATGCTGATGCACATCTGTGCACTGGTAACACAACCACTTGTTGCAGAGTGTGCACAGACTCTGCGCAAGTGTCGGCTCCGAGCACTCTGAGCAGATCTGAAAAAGTGGGGAAAAAAAACCCTCTTCTGTTTAAAATATACAGAGAACACATACTCTTTCACACATGCAAACACAGAGGACTATGTGATAAAAAGATTAGGCGGCATATGTCAGAAACATTTGTGTCGCTGTGTTACTTTGGGCTACATCACAGTTCCAAGACGTGTTATTTGTTCATGCTCACAAATGGCTCAGAGACTTTCGGAAGCCAAGTGAGCTCCACATGAAAATAAAACTAAACCTGTGCTATAGTATCATTAGTTAATGTTTAGATGCTTTTCTGAACAATAAGTATTCAAACATCATGATGTATGTAAATAAAATCTGTTAAAATAAGCCACTTTCATTTTCAAAGACACGATGGATAGTCCCTTGTGTTTACAGCTGGTTTCAGATATGAGTATACCAAAGAACACAAATGCTGTCAATAGAAATCTAATAAGATGACACACAGTACAGCCATTTTCAGCCAGGTAATACTTTATTACTCCATCTGGAGGCATTCATCCTTTGCAGTTGATCACTCCTACCAATTTAGGAGCAGTGACAAGCACCTTGGGACCAAGCCCAGTTTTAAAACCCTGTCAAGGGTATTTCTAATATCTAATGTCTCAACACAAACATAGGATGCAAGCCCCAAATTGCCTAACAACGAAAAGGATGCAGTGACAGGATCCATGTTAGAAACACACAAACAAACTACTGCACAAAAATAAACAATCTCTTGATGAACTAAGTCTCTAGATGTGTCAGAAGAAAAGAAAATCAAGACAGGAAACAATGCTGAAAGAAACACCTTACCTTCTCCATTTCAGTGTGTTGAGAGTGTTGTTTTCACAGTGGGAGGGAGAGGAGAGGAGAGGAGAGTGAGCAGCCTGATGTCTCAGCAGCAAAGACTCTGAGGCTTCTACCTGAGGCAGGAAGCAGTGCACGCCGAGAGGTGGCCCCAGAGGAGACAGCTTACATGACAGCCTCACTGTGCTCTCTCCTCCCCCAGTTCATCCATGTGTAGGACCCCCTCGCTGCAGCAGAGGAGAGGAGTGTCATGTTCAAATTGCTTGCTGGTGCACCCACCAAAAAAGCGGGGAAATCTAATCCATTTTCTTAAATAAGCCTGTGCATAATAAATGGGAATTAGGGAGATAAGATAATTATTTTTTGTAGGGCAAAATATCCCCGGAAGCCCTTTCCAAAATGGAGGAACAAAGACCAAGTGACCTACAATGAGGAAGGAGGGAGAAACTGTACTGTAAGCAACTTTTACTGTAGCTCTTTGAAGCAGGCAGTGTGAGACAGAACTAGGTGACATTAGGCGCAGGTTGTGTCAGGCTACATTGCGCTGGGCTAGGATGTACTGGATATGGCCTTCTTCCCTTTGTCAGCACGGGGAGGGGACAGGTCCCAGAGGAGCTAAACGCTAACGTAGCACACCAAAACCGGGTCAGGCAGTGATAAGCTCCAGATGGGACTTAGATACTCACCTGCAGTTCCCTCTAACACTTTGAAATCAGTTAAAGATTTTAGAACAACAGCACAAGGAAACTAACAAAATGCAGACACAGAAGGGCGATGCCACATACACTGAGAGAATATCTGCCAAAGAAGAAAGAAGAATATCTGCACGATGATATGAAAGTTGAAAAGGGGAAGTGGGGAAACAGGGTACTGCTGAAACCAATTGAAACTTCAAAAACGCCATCACCATTAAATATAGCCCAGAATCAAACCACTGTGACATCTAGAGCTGTGAGCGAGTCTGCCTAACAACCCCTGCTGCCTGACCTACAAATCTGACAACTTTCTCATCCTTGGGTGCGTTAGTGGGGCACTTATAGGAATCCCATTCCCCACTGTGCACTCAAAGACCCAATTTGAAATACAATTAGTCTGTGTTAGTACACCCTGCCTCTTGTTCACTCAGCTCTGTAGCAATTTCAAACTGTGCACCTGCTTTCACTGCTCTTTCACAGCATTTATCTATTAAACTGAAATCTCCCGTTAGCTTCTCTGCCCTGCTAAGTGAAGCTGGCACTAGATACGTATGCCATCTCAAGAGATGTCACAATAATAGAAACCTGCACAGTGATTTCTCCCTTGAAAGCACCCCCTATGCGACATCTATTAACACCGGGCTGATGAGATCACAGTGTAAAGCAGGATTATCTTCAACCAGTCTTTATGCCATTTTATCATTTCTCTCCGCAAATGACGTACTCACGATCAAACGATCAGAAAATTAATCAAATAATTTGGGAAGCCACACTGAGAGAGCTCTCTTTGGGTAAAAAGTCAGCTTCGCACACTGAAACAAGATTGTTGAGACAAATGTTTGCCTTGTCATTATGGGGTGTTTGAACTCTTACAACTAACAGGATCTCACCAAGCATCTCCTGTGAACCGTTGTAAAACACCCTACAGCAGTTTGACTTTCTGTTTGCTGCAACACTGTCTTCTTTGTTCTTCAATATTTTTGGCCACTAAGAGCAGCAGACTAAATATTATCACATTTATAAGTTGTTAAGTGGGTGAACTGGAGCCTTTTGGCTGCTGGAAACAAGGGTGTTGAGCACAGTGCAATTCAGTATGTGACCCATAAATCCAAAACATTTTGCTAAAAGGTGCTAAAAAAAAAAAATCAGAAAAGCTGCAAAGTTGGGTCATATTCCTCTGCTGGTCCATCACTGTGGGTGTTTCCTTGATAACCAAATTACATGTAGTCATTAGATTCAATATTAATATATAAATTATATTGATTAATGCTGCTTTAAGTTATTTTAAATGCAGTTTGTTAGACAGATTGCAACCTGCAATATCTAGCAAATACTTTCTAAGAATTTCTTAGCTTTTAACATCCTCAAGGCAAGTTATTTTCTTTAAATACTGTGGACTTTGTAGGGTTTTTCTGATGTGTTTTAAGATAAAAGGCCTTTGGGGGGGGGGGTTCTTAGCAAAAGTGTTCCTTTACATGAAATCTAATGAAGAGACCGAAACGAAGAGACTGAACATTTTCCTAAATGACAAAGCTCTAAAATAACAAAGAATAAATACAGCATCAGGCAACTTCATGGATAAAACGAGTAAGGCTGCACAGGGAGGCTCTGGTCATAAGTATTCAGACCCTTTGCTCAGTATTTAGTAGAAGCACCCTTTTGAGCTAATACAGCCATGAGTCTTTTTGGGAATGATGCAACAGGTTTTTCACACCTGCATTTGGGGATCCTCTGCCATTCCTCCTTGCAGATCCTCTCCAGTTCTGTCAGGTTGGATGGTAAACGTTGGTGGACAGCCATTTTCAGGTCTCTCCAGAGATGCTCAATTGGGTTTAAGTCAGGGCTCTGGCTGGTCCATTCAAGAACAGTCACGGAGTTGTTGTGAAGCCACTCCTTCGTTATTTTAGCTGCGTGCTTAGGGTCATTGTCTTGTTGGAAGGTTAACCTTCGGCCCAGTCTGAGGTCCTGAGCACTCTGGAGAAGGTTTTCGTCCAGGATATCCCAGTACTTGGCCGCATTCATCCTTCCCTCGATTGCAACCAGTCGTCCTGTCCCTGCAGCTGAAAAACACCCCCATAGCATGATGCTGCCACCACCATGCTTCACCGTTGGGACTGTATTGGACAGGTGATGAGCAGTGCCTGGTTTTCTCCACACATACCACTTAGAATTAAGGCCAAAAAGTTCTATCTTGGTCTCATCAGACCAGAGAATCTTATTTCTCACCATCTTGGAGTCCTTCAGGTGTTTTTTAGCAAACTCCAGGC